CCCTGCTCCAAGTCTGGACCAATGCCAGCTTTCCCTCAGTCTATCCTTCTTTGTGGTAATGTGCCCAGGACAAGCTAGCTCATGGGTGGAGTTGTCACTAAACAACATGAAGAGAGAAAGGAGAAGAAAAACATGCCAGAAAGTCAGAGGAAAGTAAGATGACCTCCGACTCTGATATCCATCCCCCAACTGGTTTCTTCTCTCTTCTTTGAGTACTTCTAATATCCCAAACATGAGGTAAACTCAGTTACGTTTTATTATGATGATGATGATGATTATACATGTATATCTTCTTAAAATTGTCCCAATGCTTTTGGAGGAAATCACGACCATTTTAAATGAGAAAAAATGAGTCTGACTCAAGGCCACTCAGGTAACACAAAGTAGAGACATGACTGGACTCTATGCCTTCAGATTTCAAGTTTAATGTTCTGTCCCTATACCATGATTTACCAATCTATATAATACATCTCCTTTAATAGGAAACATAAAGGACCAGAAAAGGCAGAGTTAACTAAGAGTGGACTAGCACTTGGAAATCAGTAAATTTCTAGAGAAGTAGTTAGCAAAGATACTAGCATCTTTTTTAAGAATGTGGAAGCTGGAAAATTTTATTAGAATATAAAACCAAAAGCAAACAATTTTGCTGAAAAAAATGCGAAACTACAACCAGTAATCTCCTTGGAGAGCCATTAACATCAACTATCTTACAGCCACTATTTAGCATACAGTAGCTAGTTTTATAATCTAATCAAAATTACGTGGGGAAAATTTTATAAAAACACAATGAAATGCAAAAAAAAAAAAAGTCTACTGAAAAGGACTGAACTATTACAATAACTAAGTCTATATATTCCAACTACCTTCACTGAATCTGTGACCTTGGATGTCACTAACCCATTCTCTTCAGTTTTTTCCTCTCAAAACTACTACAATTATAAACTTGCAACACCAAGCTGATAAGGAAACTGTTAGGAATAATGCATCTGAAATTGTCTTGAAAAAGCTTTTAATTCCTCAGAATAAAATTCTTGTAAAAATAAAATATTTCAGAGTAGACTGACCCTACAGTGCCCAACCCCTCATGTAGTCAAAAATCCACATATACTTTTGGCTGCCCAAAAACTTAACTACTAATAGCCTACAGTTCACTAGAAGCCTTACCAATAATGTTGACAGCTGATGAACATGTATTTTATGTATTATATACTGTATGCTTATCATAAAGACAGAAAAAGAAAATATAAGAAAATGTGTAATAGAAAATACATTTATAGCAAGATACATATATTACTGAAAAAATCCAGATGTAAGTAGAACTGTGCAGTTCAAATCCAGGTTGTTCAAGGGTCAACTGTAATAAGGAAAAGCAACCAACAGAATCTTAAGAAGTATTAGGATGCGTTCACAAGTAGAACAAATAACCCTACTGTTATCAACATAGTTTGTAATTATTTACAAATTATGATTTTCTTCTAAAAAGGATTTGGATAAGATAAACTTCTTTGTCTTTAAGATACCTATTAAGATAACCGAAATCTAAATCCTATCCAGACTGTATTTATATAGCCAAGTAAAAGTAATTCTTCTCCTTAAAAGAAAACTTAACTCTTACCAATATTTGTGTTTAAGAGGACATCTTTCTTCTTAAAGGAAACACACACACACACACACACACACACACACACACAACAGACCATACAAAAAAAAGTACTGCTTTAACAGTCTGGAGAATGCTTTGGAGGTGTTAGGAAGCTGGTGAGATCATGTAGTCAGATAACTGCAAAAACACTTTTAATCCCACCCTCTAGTAAGTCATCAATCTAACAGTTAAAATAAGACCCTCCAGGGAGCAGACTCCCCATTCTGTCACTTAAGGTCATGGCCTACTTCCTACCTCTCTTCTTTTTACCACTTGTCACATGAGGATGGAAGGCAGGAAGGGGACTCATGTAATTGGCCCGCTGCCAGGCTAGGAGCGAATCTGATGACAAATTAAGTGAAGAGGAAGCGGGTGGGATAAAGTGCTCAAGTTCCCTGCTCTCGTGAAGCTGCTTTCATACAAAGGTATTTGAAAATCACATTAAGCCTAAAGCTAACCTGCATTCTGTCCTTGCTATTTCCTTAAATAACGTTTTTTTTCCAATTTTAGAAACTCTGAAAGAACTATAATGTGATATGAACACTTTCTTGCATCCAACTTTCAGTGACATGGATTCATTAGTCTTCCCATTTCAACATGGAAATGAATTTTCAAAGCTATTAGATAAGAAACTCTGGGGCTACTGTTCTTCAGAACAAGGAAGACATATGCAGAACAAACAACTGATTGTTGATGTGGACCTCTGGTTAAAGTGAAACTCAGAGAATAATATAACCCTATTCAGGAAAAAAACAGAACACATAAAAGTTTAAAAAAAAGATATATCCTATTCTTCCGCCTCCACAGAACAATTTAATAAGAAGCCACAGATAGGCTCCTGAGAAATCTCAGAGATGACTGTTAGCTGGCCTGAATTTTCACAAAGGAACAAGATTGAGGCAGGTGATAGGACAGAGCAGGAGCCTACCTGAAAAAGTCCTTTGAGTGCATATGCTTTTGGTGGGTCAAAGGTACTTCTGTGCCACAGTTGTTTACAATACTGTTATTTAACAATGGCAGACTCTACCAAGTAAAATGCTTTATCCACTTTAATAAAGCTGAGCCTAACATGGGGAGTATTAGAAGAAATATGGCTATATGGATGTTCCTCTGACATAAAAGCCATTTTAAAAGTATCTTACAGCACCAGGAGACTTGTAAAAGAATGTTCACAGTAGCTCTATTCAAAACAAGATCCATCAACAGCGGAATGGATGAACAGTGATGTTCTCCTAGCTAGAATATTCTAGAGTTGTGCTGTCCAATAAGGTAGCCGCTAGCCACACGTGGCTATTAGGTATTTGCATTGTGACTATGCTGTGGTTTGATATATACTATAAATATAGAACAGACATGAGATTTCAAAGACTTAATATGAAAAAAGAATAAACTGTCAATTCTTTGTTGCATTCATATTTATGAATATTGAGATAAATAAAACATTATTAGATTTACTGGTCTCTTTTTAAATAGGCTACTAGAATATTTTAAATCAAACATGTGGTTCACATTATGTTTCTATTGGACAGTGCTGCCCTAGAACAATGAAAATGAATGACCTATAGGTACATAAAACAATAGGATAAATCTTACAAACATGATTTGAATTAAAGTCAGGTAAAACTAAAACTAGTGTTTAATAGTGTCAACAACAAAACACAAACCACCATGGAAGTGATTACCATAAAAACCAGGCAGTGGTTACTATGGGGAAGAGAAAGGAGCTTGTGATAGGGGATACATGGAACCCTCTCTCAAGTGAGGAGAGTAGTCTATTTTTGGGACCTGGATGTTGGTTCACTTTATTAATCTGCATTCATATTTTATGCACTTTTCTACATGTTTTATCTCACAATTTAAAAGGTTTTCAAGAAATAACTTTAAACTTGCTTTCCTTAAACATTTGTATTAACCAAAGCAATTAATGACTTTGAAGAAACCTAAAAAAAATAGAACTGAGTGACTGGTCCTAGATCTTAAATCAATATAACCAAAGAAATGAAAAATGTAAGGCCCCAGAGGTGCGTAGTCATCACTGTGTTACGTTCTTCCATATATTTTAAAGTATTTTTAAATGTTTTTAAGGCACTGCAACCTATAATTTAACCATATTATTTATCCTGTGTTAATGTGCCCCATGAAATAGGTGGTGGGCATATTTCTGACAAGTTGCACATATATTCTTATAAGTCAACATATTTGCAATGTACAAAATAAGGAGCTGATCAATGTGTTTACAAATAAGTGAGATACTGTGTTCAGTATAGGAATATCCAAAAGAAGCCATTTTTGAGATTTCTTATACACAATGATAGTTCTCTCCTAAATTCTCTCTGAACAAGTTGTAATATTTTTCTAAAATTAATTTATTTTCTTATTAGGAGGCATCCTGACAGAAATGTCCTACTTTGGGAGTGCCTGTGTAGTTCAGATGATTAAGTGTCCGACTCTTGATTTCACCTCATCATCTCAGGGTTGTGAGACTGAGCCCCATGCTGGGTTCTGTGCTGGGCATGGAGTCTACCTAAGATTCTACCCCTCTTAAAAAAAAAAAAAGATTCTATCCTTCTGTCTCTCCCCCATCACCCTCTCTACCTCTCTAAAGGAGGGAGGGAGGGAGGGAGGGAGGGAGGGAGGGAGGGAGGGAGGGAAGGAAGGAAGGAAGGAAGGAAGGAAGGAAGGAAGGAAGGAAGGAAGGAAGGAAGGAAGAGGGAGGGAGGGAGGGAGGGAGGGAGGGAGGGAGGGAGGGAAGGAAGGAAGGAAGGAAGGAAGGAAGGAAGGAAGGAAGGAAGGAAGGAAGGAGAAGAGGAAGAGGGAGAGGGAGAGGGAGAGAGGGAGAGAGGGAGGGAGGGAAGGAGGGAAGGAGGGAGGGAAGAAATGTCCTACTTTGGAAAACAAACTTTAAAAGAAATTGAAAAAAAATCTGGAGTATATGCAAGTTAGTTTACTGACAAAGGCTCAAAAGGTGAATTAAATGACTAAGTCAGTATTTCCCATAACTAATTTATCTAGTATTTGATGAAATTTTACCAAATGAAATAGTTTAAGAGCCAAGCTTATTAAATGAGAAATTCTTCTGAGCACAAAAGGCTTGGTATTCTAGCAGAATACACACAACACTTTGAAAGAAATGTTTTACGATACAAAACTAAATTTAAAGAAATCTCTCTCAGTTATGTCCATTATACTTCAATAATAAAAAATAATTTAAAAAATCTTTTTAAATCTCTCTTGGTTACCTAAGAGCAATGCTGATGACCTAGATTCACATTTAATTCATTTTTATGCAGAAGAACTTTATTTATAAGTGAAAAAGAACACAGTAAAAAAATCTACAGAATGAATGTCTGTAACTCACCGTGAACTTGGTTGATTTCTGAATTCTGAGAAAGAATTTCATCTGCTAATTTCTGAGCAGTTGGCAAAACTTCCGTGTGGTGCACTGTGATCAAATACTGTACAAACTTTTGTAGTTGGTCTCGATTCATTTGAAAGAGAGTCTCTGAAATGGGAAGATGGAGTTTGACCTGCTCTGGCTTGCGGATGCGGTATAGAGACAGCGCCACAACATGAGCACAATAAAATATGTCCTTGTTTCCACAGCTGCAGGTCACTGAGGTAATCTTGCAACGATCAAAGCTGATGGCCACGTTGCAAACAGTTTCTGGCTCCGATTGTATTGCAGGTTCTGTCACTGTGCCACTCAAGTGGAAACCTGTGTGAGAGAAAGGAAGGAGAAAGTTTAGCTGCTGTATTCAGATCCTATGAAGTACTTCTAATTCTTTGAAATGCGCAGTACTTGACAACTGCAAGAAAAAAAATTTTCGTTTTCAAGTAAAAACATCCAGGCCACTCAAACATCCTCCCTACCTCCCCTTCTCGAGATCTTACAGGTAAAAAAGGAAATGGTATTCCGCAGACATACTCAAGTATTTGACACACCAAAGCAAGAACACTAATAGCAATACATTGCCATCAAACCTATAAGAAGTTGTTAGATCACAGCTAATAAGCCATAATTACTCTGAATCTGTTATATACCTGACAAAAATCAGTGGTTTTCTTCCCTTAAAAAAAAAAAAAAAAAAAAACTTTTCAAAGTAGGGTAGGCCAGCTTGGCTTTCTGCTCAACAAACTCCTCCCTACCCTCTACCTTTATTCTAGGCAGCCACTAGCATCCTCCAACCAACAATGCAACTCTGGAGTGGGTCTCTGACACAACACTGATCAGACAAATTTCTTTATTTAGTAAGTCTTTATGTAACGTGCATAACACATGCCCCAATATAGTAATGTCTATGAGCAATGTCTACCAGTGGAACTGCAAAAGCCCATCAAAGCTCATTCAAACCATAGTCTGAGTAGCTCATGATGAGCTACATGTTTAAACATGCTTAATAAACATATTCACACAAACACACACATGAGCACACGAAATCACCAAGTGGAAAGGGGCTTTACAACTTAGATCTACACACAAATCCTCCACACCCTCCAGGACTAATAGCCACATGGCCACTGCTTATAATGGTCCAGAGACACTCACCGTATGAAGAGCTTACAGCCAACTGAAAATTGCCTCCCACCACACTGCCTATGTGGCCAGGGAACAAAACCTCCTCACTACTTTGCCATAAATATATGGAAAGCTAATTCTACGTTTTGCTGTTGTTTTGGCACATCCACTTAGTCCCACCTTCCTCCTCTGACAGCCAAACTCGGAGGCAAGAGCTGAACCTTAAGGTTCACTTTGGGAACCTCCAGGAGAGTGATCTACCTCAAGACTTTGGGTACCCGACAGAAACCAAAGTTCAAAATGAAGCCTCTGGCTCTCTTCCAGCTTTCCACTATCTATGCTACTAGAATAAAGATCATGAAGCAGGACACTGTCTTAATTCACAAAGAGAAAGATCTTTACTATGAAGGAAATCTGAGAGGGATGGTAGGTGCAGGACATGAGACTGACAGCTGATGATGCCTAAAATTCACATGTGAGACACTTGAACCCTAAGTATGGTCTCCCCCAAGGGATGATAATCAGGGCAAAGAGTCAGAAGAAACACTACTCACTACTCAAAGGATATCTTTCAGAGTAATATAATTTCATCCTAATAATTTGTATTTAGTAACTTAGTGGAAAGAGAAAAGTGTGGTAATAATTTTACCAAATTAATCAAAGAGAACAATCCCTAAAAACAAGTCACTAGTAAACTTCATGATAAAAAACCTACAGAACTGTAATACGATAACTTTACAAAGAGATTATATCCCTGTTTCATAATGAATATTCCAGTCTCTTTTATCTCTTTCAGTCAAGAAGTTTTTGAATACAACAATTAAAGATACATAGTGATGTAAAATCTTTTTTTAAAAAAATTAACATATTTTCCCATGGGGGAAAAAAGTCACAAAAAAAGGTAAACCCCTAAGAAAATTTCAAAAGTGAATAATAATAAGGGCAAACTTATCTTATTATATACCAGATGCACTATAAGCATCCAGTAATTAGAAATCAATGGGACAGGCAGATAGAAACAAAACAAAACAATGGATCATAAGAGACAATTCGAAGAGTCCTCAAGTATATTCTGTACATTTAGTGCAAGGGATCTCTCAACATTTTCCACCTGTAACATACATATATGTATACAAAGAAACCAATTGTAGGGGCAGCCACAGTGGCACAGTGGTTTAGCACCGCCTGCAGCCCAGGGTGTGATCCTGGAGACCCAGGATCGAGTCCCATGTCGGGCTCCCTGCATGGAACCTGCTTCTCCCTCTGCCCGTGTCTCTGCATCTCTCTCTGAATGAATAAATAAATAAATCTTAAAAAAAAACACACACACAATTGTTAACTATGGGGAAAGATTTATCATAAATTGACTGTTTATAAAATTGATCTCTCCAGCTTAACACTATCGTCTCTCTCCTGGTCCACCAAAGTCAACATCTTTGTCTTTCCATGAAAGTGATATTGGAGAACTTCTCCAATCACAGGCTAAGCCAAGACAATTGAAGATCCAAGAGTTAGACTAGTTAGTATTTAGTCTGTAAGGGTATAACATAATGGGTGCTTCAAAAGAGACTGAGTTAAATACCAGAGAAGAGGCCCTAAAGAAAAGTGATGAATCCCTCAAATAGTTTTGCAGGAAACTGTTTTAGATGTTTAAGTCAGAAAGAAAGAAAGTACACTGAATGCTGCTATCATGAAATTATGCCAAAGGAAAAACTCATTACTCGATTTCATTACAACAAATATTTACTATTCTCATATAGTCTTTTAAAAAGCAAACTATAAAATACTGTGACTGCCAAAACAATTTAATTCAAGAGATTGTGAGAGCACACATAAACATATACATGTCTTACAGAGTAACACTTCATTAATCTGATACCATCAAAGATTAAGACATTTCATGAATGTTCATTTTCCAAGAAATTCCAGATTATCTTTCAAACACCCAAACTCCTTGAAGAATTCCAACCATTTTTCTTAGAAATATTTCTAAATGGGGATCCCTGGGTGGCGCAGCGGTTTGGCGCCTGCCTTTGGCCCAGGGCGCGATCCTGGAGACCCGGGATCGAATCCCACATCAGGCTCCCGGTGCATGGAGCCTGCTTCTCCCTCTGCCTGTGTCTCTGCCTCTCTCTCTCTCTCTCTGTGACTATCAAAAAATAAATAAAATAAAAAAAAAATTTAAAAAAAAAAGAAATATTTCTAAATGTAAATTAAATACTACCCTGCCACCCTAATCAACTGGACCCATCTGGTGCTACCAAGAGAGTGGGCACGACTCCCTATAACAGGCAACTGCAAGTGGCAATATTTTTAAGCGGGCTTTTTTTTTTTACTTTTCGCCACTTATCAGCCTTCCAAAGGACTCCTCTCCTATGTGGCTAGTCTTTTTCATGGAAAATTCTTTGTCCTCGGTCATCTGCACCTCTTATTTGACTACCTTGTGGCAACTATTAAACACTCTGAGGCTTATTTGTTTGGGGGTTCCCCCTCTTTACTTTTAGGTTGGAATGGTTGATGTTGCTAAAGGCAACTGGCTTTACTTTAAATACAGGAAAATTACATACACACCTATAAGTGACAGCTGGTATATTGTTTTTTTAGACTATACAAAACTGAGTCCGTATGTACGAAATCCATCAGGACTCACTTCAGGACTGCATGGTCGTCTCTGATTTGAGAAACCTCTGAAATTTTGACTCCCTCTCAGTTGGTCCTAAATCATTCCAGAGCACACCACAAAAGAAAACAAGGAGAACATTCCTCCCGCAACAACCCCTAGACAGCTACATAAGCCATCCTTCCTCCACCTTGTACTCCCTACCAACAGCCAGTCTTATCTCTTAGGGAGTGGGTGACCTGAAACAAAATAATATTCTTAAGAATGGATTTTACCTTTCTGGAGTTCTGACAAACCTTGATGACCCACTGTTTTAGAATTGCAAATACAAAATCTCTTTCTGAAACAGTTAACTGTTCTATATGACAGACCTGAGGACAAAGAAAGGGGCAAGCAATTAATTCTCAAAGAACCAAAACTGAAAAAATTACATAAACCTTTTCTTATAAATAGATTTCTTTGACTTTATAATCTGTCAATGATAGTTAATCTCCTAAGAGCAAACTTCACAGGGCAAACTCTTTCATCACCATCAAGTTTTATCAGTGAGCCCAATAAAATGTTAGTATTCACATTCTCAACCTGCAGACCTGAAAAAACAAAAAAAACAAAAAAAACAAAGCAGAAACCAAGGCACAGCACTGTAGAAGGTTTGGTAATAGAGACATTTTGATTCTGATCAGGCTCTCACTTAAATGCTGTGTGCTCTGGACATGTTCTTTAACCTTTCTGAGTCTTGTTCTATTCGTTTGCAAAATGGGGCTAGAAACACCTCCTCCGGGTTGTTGTGGGGATTTAAATGAAATAACATATGTAAAGCACCTGGCACATAGTAAAAGCACTCGTTAAATTTTATTTCTCTTTCCTTCCCTTCCCAGCTGGAGAAACAGGGGAGGGATGTTGGATACATTCCCTACAACACTTTTTAAAATCTTTGCTACTGGAACCTTGGAAGGGGGAGCAAGGGGTCTCACTTGAGAAATGGCTTGTAAAATTAAGCATAGCCACTGAGAATGTCTTAGATACTGAGTTGGATGGCACTAGCGGGATCACTGCTGCTTGACAACAAAACCAAAAATAAAAATCTTCAGAGTCTTACACCTTTGTTTACTCCAGCTTTCTGTCCCCACCTTCCTATTAAGTTCTACCAACATGCAGTTAATTTTGTCAATGACTGTTACTTAATACACAGAGAAACTAGAAAATAATAGGGGAGATATTTTTTTTTATAAACACTCATCCTGGGGAATCCCTGGGTGGCTCAGCGGTTTGACACCTGCCTTTGGCCCAGGGCATGATCCTGGAGTCCTGGGATCAAGTCCCACATCAGGCTCCCTGCATGAAGCCTGCTTCTCCCCCTGCCTGTGTCTCTGCCTCTCTCTCTATCTCTCTCTCTGTCTCTCATGAATAAATAAATAAAATCTTTAAAAACAAATAGGGGATCCCTGGGTGGCGCAGTGGTTTGGCGCCTGCCTTTGGCCCAGGGCGCGATCCTAGACACCCGGGATCGAATCCCACGTCGGGCTCCCGGTGCATGGAGCCTGCTTCTCCCTCTGCCTGTGTCTCTGCCTCTGTGTGT